GAAATTTTTAGCTACAAAGTTACTGATAAAAATGAAAAGAATGAACTTTATGCAAAAGAAGCCTAAAATTTCTCAACTATACCTGTGACTTTTGAACTTTAAGAACAACGTGAAGCTTTCAAACAATGTCCTGACACTTGAACACTTTCAAGGAATGAAATCCATCATTCTCCTTGTGTGACTTTACATGAACATTTTTAACTTCTTGATGTCAGTCATTTTAAGAAGATTCTATTTTTACATACACTCTTAAGCAGTACCCGATAACAACATTCTTTCTGGAGAATCATCACAGTTCTACACTGCAAAGCATAGTAATTCACAGTTCCTATGAGGTAAGATACTATTATTATACCCATTTCATATGTGAGAAAAATGAGCCACACAGAAATGAAGAGGGAAGCTTTATATCTCACAAGACCCTATTCCATTTCCATATACAAAATTTTTGTTCTAATGTAACTCATGGTACAAAGTAACATTTTCTTGATTGTTCCTAGGAACTTGAGGAAATGAAACTTGAAAACTGAACCATGTGTCTTTAAATTAGCTACTTTAACTTCTGTTTTAATCACCTCCCTAAGAACAAAAATCCTATACATGATGGAAAATAATAATAAAAAAAATTCTAATATTTGCTGATTTTGAAAGAATCTAAAACGTAATTCCAGGGCATTGCTCCTAGATGTGAGAAAAGAAACGAGAATGTACCTCAAATGCACAAACATTCAGCAACCATCCCACACAGTTGGAACAGGAGACAAAGACAAAAACCTGCTTTTTTTTTAAATAAGATTCCAGGGTACAACAAATAATCTATCCTAAAGGTGAAGTGGGTAGGCGGGGGGAGTCCTCAATGCATAGTTGGTACACGAGGCACATAACAGCAATTAAAGCTATTGATGCATATTTGTTTTATTAGTATCTTGGGGGCGATGTCAGAAGAGGAAGAGGAGAGTATTTTGGTACTGCTGCATGTTTCCAGGATGCAGTGACTTTGTATTAGAAATGAAACACAAAACGGGTCTGCAAAAGAAGTACATTTGCATCAAAATCACCCGAATAAGCAGGCAATCTCCCTTTCATACTGGTGGCATAAAACTGGATCCTTTCCAAATACCAAGGTGAAATTTCCTTTGCTGTCTCTGTCATCAAACCTCTCTGCTTTCTGTTTTTCCTTACCATGAAAGGCTAAAATACTTGGACCTAAAATGTCCAGCCAGCTTTTTATACTGTAGTAGTCCTCATAAGTAAAACCTTCAGACAACATTCCTTACAAATAATCCTTAAGTGAAAACACTAAACAAAATGACCACAGGAGGAAAACAATTCTGCCCTTGTCTGTGCACAAATTGACTTAAACCACAGATTTAGCTACAACAGAACAACTGGTAACAACATACAAGAAACTCAACTCCCACAAAACAGATTACTTACTAATTTTTATAACTGTTAAATCCTAAGAAACCAGCTCTATTTGTCACTACATGTGCAGAGAATTTCAATGTCCCTATAAGAATGACATCGCCATGCAGCAGAACTAGTCTGATAACACAACAGTAACCTTGGGCACTAACTCAAGAACAAACTTCCTTTGATTAGATGCATGAGTTTTTTCAAATGTAAAACGTATGTATTTTCCATGGAATACAGTGATACAGTAATGTCAACTTGAATAACTAGTATGTCATCAGTGAAACCGACAAACATCTATTGAGCTCTTAACATAAACTGCATAAAAGCAGTTAACACTATGTCAAAGAATATAACTTCCCTGAATTCTCAGCATGAATTATCAACACCAACAACAAACCCATGAAAATATTATGAATCCCATTTTACAGTTAAAGAAAAAGATACAAAGAAGTCAGATAACCTATTCAGAATCAGATAAAAAAAATAATCGATCAACTAATAGGCAAAAGACTTTGTGCCAAGTAAGCTTCCTAAAGTTGAGTAATGGGACAGCAGAACCACTTTAAAAGATAATTCCACCACCGTTGAGTGCTAAGGTTTAGAAATGGTTTAAAACGTCTGCTCTCGATACTTTAAAGCAACTGAGGCCAATAGGAGAAGGGGACCAGGAACTAGAGAAAAGGTTACTTCAAGAAGAACTAACTTAGAAGGTAACACACATGCACAGGAAATCAATGCGAGTCAACTCCCTGTATAGCTATCCTTATCGCAACTAGCAAAAACCCCTGGTCCTTCCTATTATTGCTTATACTTCTCTCTTCAACAAAATTAGAGATAAGGGCAAAAGTTTCTGCCAGGTAGCAATGGGGTAGGGGGGAAGGGGGGGGGGGAAGGGAAGGGGTGGGGGAAGGGGTGAGAAATGACCCAAACATTGTATGCACATATGAATAAAATAAAAGCGCAAAAAGTTAAAAAAAAAAAAAAAGTCTACTCTCAAAGGTTGATGAGCTGTTAAGTTTGGCCCTCAGCAGGGTGATATTGAGAGGTGGTAGAACTTTTAAGAGGTGGGGGTATAATGGAAGGTGATGAGATCATTGGGGTACTGCCCTTGGAACAGATCAATGTAGTTCTCCTGGAACCCCAGTTAGTTCCCATAAGCTATAAAACACTATCATGAGTTGAAAACAGAGCAATTCTGATGGGCCAGAGATGTATCTCAGTGGCAGTGCACATGCCTACATTTCACAAGGCACTGGGCTGAACTCTCAACAAACAAACAAACAACAACAACCCCCCCCCCACCAACAGCAACCCTGGCCCCTGAATCTGTCTGGGTTATTATCTCACCACATGGTCTCTTCAGCACACAATCCCCGCACTGTGATGCAATGTGCCATGAGGCCCTCACCAGAGGCCAAATAGAGGGAGCCAACAGATTTTGAACCTTCAGCCTCCAAAACTGTCAACTTAAAGTCTCTCTGCCTTACAAAGGCCTTATATTCAGGTATTTTGGTATGTCAAAGAGAAAATGGACTAAGACAATGAGATACCACTTCACACCTACAAGCATGACTATAGATTACAACAACAACAACAACAATTGGCAAAAGAGAAACTGACACCCTCATACAATGCTGCTGGGATTATCAAATGGTACAGGCACTCTGAAAAAGCCTGGCAGTTCTTCAAAAGGTTAAACACAGTCACCATGACCCATCAACACCACAGAAACACTTACCTAAAAAAAAACCAGGTACACAGATATTCATATAAGATTTTGTTAGTAACTGTGAACAAATATAAACAGCTCAAAAAGGCCCATCATTTGATGAAAGGTTAAACAAAATGTGGTATCTCTCTGTGATGGAGTATTTCTCCTCTCAAAAGGAGAAAGTGCTAATACATGTTTCAACATGCACGAACCTTGAGAACAAGAGGCCAAGACAACGAAGCCAGTCACAAAAGACCACATATTGTACGACTTCATTTATATGAAATGCCCAGGACAGGCAAGTCTGTACATACAGAAAGTAAATTAGAGGTTCCCAGGGGCTGGAGGAAAGGATGAAGTGAAGAGTAACTGCTAAAGAGCATCTAGCTTCTTTTGGGGGGTGATGAAATGTTCGAAAATTTATTGCGGTGATGGTTGCAACTATTCAGATGTACTAAAAACTAGTGAACTGCCTTTCAAGGGTGGGAATTGGTACAGTCAGTGAATTCAACAAAAGTATTACAAGAAAAGTTATCAACAGCTTTCTTTTGTGGATTGCATATAAAAATTTGAGAACTAATTTTTACTCTAGACAAGGTACTAAAATCTTAAGAGTTAAGGATTCACAAATAAAATACCATAAAAGACTCATTCTATTTTAAAAGCTGAAACTAAAATTTTATCCAATCAGAATTCAAGTAAAACAAGTCCATAATTCAGTAACTGTCAACTGCCTCTGCATTCTTCTTAACTACAAACCATACCCAACTGCTCTTCTTTGGAACCTAATTTTGACTTTGATTCTACTAGTCTAAGCATTTAAAAATTATAAAAAGTATACAGTGAATTAGAAAGTTATTAAGTCATACTAAATTTCCAAAAGAAAATCTGATACCCGAAAGACTTTATCATGAGGCAATTTCTCCTAGAAAGCAAGCCATCACACATAAGCGTCCAGCTGTTTTCCTAATCCCTTTTTAAATCTGCCAACTAAAGTTAAATATTTCCCACCAGTGACTTCATTGAATCTAAAGAGAGAAAAAAAGAAGAAAAGTGAAATTCCAAAATTCTTAAAGTGCTTTGTCTCAAAGAACACTTTTTCACATCTGAAATTCTTAGAAATGCATTCATATAAGAGAGGGTCTGAGCCGGACATCAGTAGCTCACAGCTGTACTCCTAGCTACTTGGGAGGTAAAGATAAGGAGGATGGAGGTTCGAAGCCAGCCCGGGTGAATAGTTTGAGAGACCCTATCTTGAAAAAAAAAAAAAAAAAAAAAATCACAAAACAGGGCTGGTGGAGTGGCTCAAGAGGCACAGTGCTGCCTATCGAGCCTAGCAAGCGTGAGGCACTGAGTTCAAACCCCAAGACCACTAAAATATAGTCACTGACTTCATCTGTGTAAGGAGAGAAAAACTTGCAAGCATCATTAGAGATCATCCAATTAAAAGGTTAAAAACTTCATTTAACAATACTGTTGGATTACCATACTTTACAATGCACTTTATGAATTGGTATTGACTTTGAAATATTAGTTGTTTAATACATCTACGTACAAAAGAAGACCTAAAGTAAGACTAATTAAATATGGTCCTTATAAAAAAATAGAAATTCAGACATGAATGTAACTCTAAAAACGAACACAATACAACCAAGTGAAACTGGAGCCCACACCACTCAAGAGTAAGTATACCACACACTCCTTTCTAGATCCAGATCAACACCTGCCATAGCATTGTCTACTGACAAAATCAGCATCCACATGCATAGAAGCCATATATACCGTCCAGCAACACACAACTGTCAATGCCTAAAAATTGTGTTTACATTTTGATGCTTTAAAGAAACCAATTTTGAAAAAAACACTTCCTCACCTATTATCAGATGGCAGAAGAGAAAGCAAAGCCAAGGCTGAAAGTTTTCTTCTTTCAGGCTGAGTAATGTGGTCCATTCGATCTACCCACATTTCTATCATGTTTCCCAAAAGCTGGTCCATCTGAAAAAGGAGGAGGAGCCATCTCAAAGTATTTGAAATCCATTTACTCATAGGTAAGTACCATCAAAGGCTGAGACTTCCCAAGTGACGGTTAAAGTTCAATTACAGTGACACAAACAATAGAAAACCTGAAATTCCAGCAAACCTTGAACTGTACAGGACTAAACTGACTAAGGCCAAAACTGACTCTAGTTAATCATGAGAGTCAAAGAGACTTACTGAAAACCTGTATGCAGCCAATGAGTGATTTTAGTAACTTCACTTAATAAATCACCAATGAATGCAGTCTTCCCGGTACATTGAAAACGTATGTGTATTTTTCAGAACTGTCAATCTGTACTTAGATTACAGGTTCATTCAGTTGGAATGGCTATTGTTCAATATCCTGTAATTTGTTGGACTGATTTGCTACCACCCTCAAAAGACAGGATAGGTTGCAACCTCAATGAATCATTGCCTATGATGTGTGTATCTGCTACATTAAAAATAAAGTGAGAACAAATCAACATAATGCAGAATTAGTGAGGTGATTAATTTCATGTGTTCATTCGGCTAGTCTAAGGTGCTCATTTCTGTAGTCCAACACGAGGCTCGATATTGCTGTCCAAGTATTCTATAGATGTGATGAACATTTACAATTAAATGACTTCCAGTAAAAGAGATCTTTCTCTCCCCACCCCCTTCCTTCCTACTTTCCTCTTGTCTTTCTCCCTGCAGACACAGAATCTACAGAGTGAACAGATCAAGCGTACTACTCATGTAGATTGAAAGATCTCATGGGTTTGCTTAAAACATTTTTCTACCTGTAGTACCTTTTAAATCTGATCACATACAGTGAACCTTCCATTCCCATTATTTTCTATGCAGTGTACCCACACGTTTTCCAAGAAACGCTTCAGCACATTATTTCTAATAAACAGTCAAGAAAGCAATGAGTATTAGTTCAAGACCATTATTTATACTTGAGTTCCCTGAGCTATGTGCTGCACTGAGATGCCACAGTGAACTCAAAATGTCCCACTTACCTTCCACTCCAACTTAAAAAGATTAAGTTAAAGGATATTGTCGAAAAGAAGGTAACAATACTTCTAGAAAACAAGGACATAAGTAAGGACTAGCTGAGTTCAGTCTCAAGTTTCTTAGAAATGGGTAATTATTACTCAAATTATGCAGCTGTAAACACCTTCTTGCACATTTATAATGGAAGTCATCACCCTAGAATCACACTGACAGTGTGGGAGAACATTTCAGTATCGTACATATGCATTGCTGGCTCTCTCCTGAAATTCCGCTCAATGAGCGTGAAAAATATAAAAAGCAAAATTCTCACAGTGTCTATAAGAAAAAGAAAAACTCCCAAAAGGTAAAGATGGCAACATGGTTTTGGAAGATGGCAGGTGGAAGAAAGAATGGTAAGTGACTAGGAAGAAGAGAAAATTCTGAAGCCAAAGTACCTGTCAAGGGGACTCAATTCAGTGCAAGAAGATCAGGATCTCACTAACTACCCTGCAATCATTGAGCCAGGAAGAAAGGAGGCACAGAGCTCAGAATACACCTGGCTCCAAATTGGTATAAAGGAGAAATCAGAACCTCTTGGTCCTCTTCTCCACTTCTGAAGAGGGCCAAAGGCATAGCATCTGGAAAAATGACATCAAGGGAGCTCTAATTCAACACATCAGGAACAGGGGAAGGAAGCTTAAGGAACAAGTTAAAACCAGATCATTTACAGATGAAAATCTGGAGACACGCTCATGCCACAAGCTCCATTCTGAATTCCAGAACACTGGGTGAGATACTTAACTGTCCATTGTGAATTCATGTTGTGATTTTGCAAAAATTCTTTACTCTTGCCAGGAACTTAACTAGACCATGACTGGCTGAAACTCTGATGAAATATACTTAGAACCTTCAACTTTTAATGTTTCAACTCTTGAGCACCTCTGTGTCCAAACTTTACATCACTAGCAATAATCAACCACCGCGGTTGTGCTGAAATAATAAATGCTGTCTCATTCTAGAAATAAAAATTATTTTAGTTTGCACGGACTCCTGTATTTAAACAGGTATTCCAGACTGTTTATAAACTCTTCAGCCTATCAGAAGATATGTTAAGTTACAAGTTATAATTGATAGAATTTCTACATTGTACAAAATATTTCTTTACAGCACTTAATTGAAATGACTGTTAATAGAAGAATTGATGCTATTAATCGTAGCACTTAGCAAGGTTATTTTTACATTGTTTGTTAATTAGCAGAACTTATGCCTACATTTAATAACCGGCATGACCATCCTTACACAAAACTACAATACAGGCAGTGCTCAGTGGCTCACCCCTATAATCCCAGTTACCTTTTTTTTTTTTTTTTTGAGGCAGGGATCATGGTTCAAGGCTAGCCCAAGCAAAAGTCAGCCGGACCCCCATCTCAATCAAAAAAAGCCAAGTGTGGTGACATGCGTCAGTAATTCTAGCAACCTGGGAGGTGGAAGGTAGGAGGATCGCGATCTGAGGATGGCCTTGAGATTAAAAAAAACAAAAAAAACCTTGACACTCTAACTGGAAAATAACTAAACAAAAAAGGACTGGAGGCGTGTTTCAACTGGCAGAGCACCTGACTATTAAGTGGGAGGCCCTGATTTCATTCCACAGTTGTGCAAAAACAGACAAAGAAACAAACAAAAAACTCTCCAGTACACTGAGCCTTGGTATAATGTTCTAGTTGACTTAATATGAATCTAGCAGCAAATGAAGAGAATGATAAAAGGTACACTCAGAGACTAAAAAGTAAGGTAGAGAAGGGAGAACTAAGAGTTCTTTTCGCTTATACTTTGGAGTATGGCCAAGGTAGGGAACGTACTCAGAACTTATCAAACTTTGTTGAATGTGGCATGAAACCACCTGTCCAATCTGGAAGACCAAACGGCTAATCCAGAACAAGAGCGCAGCGGCCTAGAAATTAACACATTTTTGCCACTAGCACCACGCAATATGAACACAGGAGCAATAAAATAGTGGGAACAGAAGGAAGGGGAAATAGCTTTGGCAGGATTTGAATTTCTCCAGTAGCCTAAAGATGGAGGCATAAAATTATTTCCCTTACATTTCTATTACTGGCTCTCTGTACAAACAAATCATTTGCTAAAATGAAAGAAGAGGACAAGAGCACATTTCATATTCCGAATTAAGGACAGAGCTGATGACCAGCCCAGAGTTGATATCACGGAGGTAGAGTCAGTAAAGATCACGGTGCTTAGATAATACAATGAGGGAATATAACACAAACTAGTGAGGGCAAGGGTCTGAATGGGATGTAAGCGAGTGAGCAGAGAACCAAGACCCTCAAAGGGACACGATCCTTATGCGCCAAGAGATGTTAGAATGGACTGGACATCTGATGAATCTAACTGGTAAGATTAAGCCCCCCCAGGAAGAAGCTTTATTAAAGAAAAAATTTTAAAATTTACAAAGTAAATAATCAAAACCAATTTGAGTTAAAAAGGAGAGAAAAGTCTAAGATTAGGAGAGCAAAGAAAGCAAAAATAAAACATGCGAGGGAGGAAGTTTAGGGCAAAGAACAGTGAGTTAGTAAATGATCTCAGTAGTGATCCTCAAAGTCACTCAAATGTTAAAATCTGTCTGCCTTCAAAGTTATTAAGGCGTGAATGGAGCGGCCCTTATGTAGTACTTGAATTACATGATAAGCCAGGCTAGGCTATTTTAATTGCCCAAGAGGAAATATTATTTCAATACATTATGACATAGTATTTTAAAGCTAACAGTAACCCAAACAGAAATATTAATGGGTAAATTACATTTAAGTCATTTAATAAATAAAGCATTCAGATTTAACCAGACCCAATACTGACATGGACCTACATGGCAATGTATGTTCTATAATTAAAAATGCCTGGGGTCAGGGAGCATGGGTCAACTTGGAAAGCACTTGCCTGGCATGTCCCCGACCCTGAATGCAAGCCACACCACCACCAAAACACAAAAAAGCCTTGTTAGTGTGGTAGACAGCTTTTCTTTGTTTTCAGAGCACACTGGACACATCTCTAACATAGTGCTTACAATATTATGAAACTGCCTTTTAAATTATTTCTGCGCTTAAAAGAGTAGTACGAGCTAGTCAAATCAAGTGTCTCCAGTGGCTAGTGGACAACTGCCTGTTCCAGGACTGGTGGGAGACAGTGAAATGTGTTCCCTGGTGTATTGGGCTCAGAAGTTAGGTTGCTAGGGTTTGAGTACCAACTCCACTATTTAGGACCCATATGAACTTGAGCCAAGTCACTGAATCTCAAATCTCTCTAAATATCTCACATATGAGATGGGAATAAAAACACTAGTATCTCACTGGATTTTTGTAAAGATTTAAAATAATGCATGCAAAGTACATGAAATTTATATTATTGAGTATACTGCTATTACTAGAATCACTCAAAATATCTGCTAAACACAATTGATTAAACTCTTTTAACTATCTAACATCATTGCAGTTAAAATTAATAAATAATGAAAAGAATTCTCCTAGCTATTCGTTAAAACAAAGGAAGGTATCCCTAATTTAAATACTCACGTTCCATAAGAACTATACACATTGTAATCCTGATACATGCTTACTGTGGATTTCCCAGAATTAGTTATATTTGTTTTGGTAATAAATTGAAAGATTCCATAAATTGTCTCCACTCTAGATAAATCAAATAATATTTTACTTTCTATATCTTATGAATCTTAGCAGATTAATGGACGAAAATATGAAAGCCTATTTGAGTATCATATTCAATATTACAACGATAATCCTAGCACTCCAGAGGCAGGAAGCTTGAGAATTTAAGCCTGGCCTGCGCTACACAGTAAGATCCTGTGTCAAAAAGCAAAAACAAAACAAACAAAAAAATTTTAAAAAGGAAAAAACAAAAGAGAGCAAAAGAGAAAATGGAAGAGGAGGAGGAGGAAGAGGAAGAAGAACAAGAAAGAAAAGAAGATTTGCAACTATGGTTTACAGAATCCTCTTTCTTCTATCCCTACTAACAGGTCAACCTAAATTATGTAAACCCTTAAATGCATCAAAAGAATTTTTGTAAAGACTCATTATTTCATCAACTATTTCTAATTTAAATATATTTTCCCAACCACAGTGTTAAAAGATTTCTTTAAACTTAAACATGTGGATTCTTACCTCCTGATTAAACTTATGTGCCATCTCATTCAGAAGCGAAGAAAAGAAACTAGCATTTTGTAGCAGGACTCGACCGATAACTCCAAGATACGTAGACATCACTTCAGGATACCTCTGTACAATTAAAATACACCACATGTGAAATTGTGTTAAGATACAAGTACAATCTACACTCATATAGTAATAACAGAATTATGAAAACATTCTCCTTCATGTTGCTTCTCTTTAGAAGGAACTGTCAATTGTTTGAGTTCTAGCCAAATTACTAAATACATGTAAGGCGTGGATCATTGGTTCATATATATTTATGTGGATTATATATGGACTGCATGTGTACATAAGCAATAAAGAGAAAGGAAGTGTATGCATCAGTGGCATATTTACATCACTCTAACTACTCCTAACATACATAGTTGCATGGATCTACTTAAGAGCTGATGTAGAAAACAGCCACTGGCCATGGTTGCATACATTCAGTCCACAAGAATACTATATTGCGCCCCCCTCCCCACCCACCCCCACTCCCCTGTACACTCAGCAATCAGGTACTGGAACGAAGTCACTAAGCTTTACCACAAATCACAAGTCTATAAATGCACATGCGTATGAGTAAAAGACATGAGATATAAAAAGGAACTCTATACTTTTGTGTGTGCAGAAGGAAAGTCAAACGTGTACAAGTATCCTAAAAATTTACATAATTTAACATGATCCGAATGGTAAGAAAAGCTTCCTTTTTCACATGTATCAATGAGGAAGAAACTATTTTCCAATGAAGGAAAATAATTAAAAATAGAACCTTAGGAGCTTAAGAGAAAAACTCACCTCTCCTTCCATAATACCACTGAAAACACAGGGTAAAATTGGTTGAAACATTTGTGGGCCTAATACTGGATTGACTTTAAGGGCATTTTCCACAACCTAAAAACCAGAAAGATACACTGGTGATATTCAATACAGCAAGTCATTGCTTCATGTAAAACACGGGTACGAAAGCAGTGTACTAAATTAAGGATGACACAACACACTTAAGAACATACACAAGTTCATAAGGCATGAAAAAATCCTAGCACGGGACACAGTTTTCAAAAATAATGTATTAAGAATTGCAGTGTGATAAAGTATACGATATCTAAATACAGCTAAACAACTTGCACAGAATTATATTTAATCACATGGTGGTAACATGACTAAGCATGCTGCACTATAAACAAATAATCCTTAGAAAATGTTGCACGTATACAAGCAGCGAAAGGCATTTTTAAAGCACCTTTTAATAGGGAGAAGGCAAATTATAACACCAATATTCAGTGTCCAAAAATAAGTCTACAAATAAGTTTATCAATTAATTGAATGAAATGCATATTTATTAAATTATAAATCATAGTTATACAGATTATTAGTCATGTGTATTGACTATGACATAAGAAAAAGTGAAAAAGAGATTATTTTTATATTGGTGAGCTGGTCTCTCTATATAAACAGATGGGTAAGCATGAAATTCAAAGTGCAGTGGGATTTTTCCTTTTGTTGGTTTTTGTTTTATTTTTGTACAGAGTGAAGAATAAAACTGTTGGAAAATGAGGACCCACAAGGCCATTTATCTTATGCTTCCAGACGAAGGGCTTGAGAGGTGGAAAAGAAAACAGACACCATCTGAGAGGACCAAGGGCAGGGTCTAGCCTCAGGATTCCAACAAAACACCCCAGGATTCCCTGTCTACCAGACACAACCATTCCACGTACCGAAAAGCTTGCAGAAACTCCAGTCTCTGCTCATTATGTGACAACAGTGTGCTCCAAACACTAAGACACTCAAAGATGCCTCTCTGAATATCAAAACATTCTCAAGGTGAACAAATAGCACACCTGGTTGGTTGGCAAAAGTCTCTAATTTAGAGCAAGAAGTGAAGGAAATGGCCACCAGGCAAAAAAGGTTAAATATACACAATCTTTGTCTGTGGTCCAAGCACTGTGCTTTGAACCACAGGGACTAAGAGACACAGGTGTCCAAAAAAAAGAAAAAAAAAGAGAGAACTAAGAAGAAAAGATGTAAACATGGAGAACAGGCAGACAGGCTGTAGACTGAGTCTCAGAGGTACATCTCAGCAGACAGTCTATCTGTGGCTGAAAAGTAAGGCCACCTGCTGGTTATTAAAATAAATTTAACTTCACTCCCTCTTGAAACTCCACTAAGATTACAGCACTTGGATTTCTGGGCCAGGACGATACGAAGGGAATTTCAAAAAGACAAAGGGAATGAAAGATGGAAGTGGGAAAGATGTTAAAGAGGGAAGTGACTCATCAGAGAGAGTGAATCCTATGCTGGCAATGGAAAAGCTGGGAAGCAACCAGATTCATCTCATATATCCTCTCCCCATTAAAAAAAAGCATGGGAAATAGCAGAACCATACCCCTTCAAAAAAAGAGAAGGGGAAACTAAAAACAAGGAGAAAATAAAGACTGAAAATAACAAAAGGGGAAGAAAAAAGGAAGACTTGTTAAAAGTATACTTAAGAAACCAATCAAAACCACGTTAAGATTCCACCCCACTCCTGTTAGAATGGCTACCAGCAAGAACATAAACAACAACAAAAGTTGGTGAGGATTGGCGGGGGGAGGAGAGGGGAAGGAACCCTCATACATTGCTGGTGGGAATGTAAATTAGTACAGTCACTCTGGAAAACAGTGTGGAGGCTCCTCAAAAAATTAAAAATAGAACTGCCATATGATCTAACATCATCGAAAGTGATGTTAGTCAGGCTCAGAAGGCCAAAAGCCACATGTTTTCTCTCATATGTGATAGACAGACCTAACACAAATACAGCAACATTATAAAAAACAGGTCTCCCTGAGGGGAGGTCATATACGACAGAGGGAGGGTAAAAGAAAGAAGATAATAAAGTGAATACGGTTGATGTTCTCTCTATACAAAAGTACAGAATTTTTAAACCTATTGAAATCACCATAAGCAGGGGACTAAAAAGTAGAAAGAAAAATAGAGCAGATGAACCAATTCGGGTTATAATACATTTATACACGGATATGTCACAAAGAAACTCCCTGTTATAGCTATATTAAACAAACAAAAATGTCATTTTTTTTTTCCTTTCACAAAATCAAAGAAAAAGAGGGTAGAACAGGTCCTGTCTGGGAGGGCTGGTACCAAAAGGAGGGGGAACATTGTGGGGAAAGGGTGTAGGAGGGTGAATATAGTGCAAATACTGTGTACACATGTATGTAAATGGAAACATGAGACCTGTCGAAACTATTCCAGGAATGGAATAGGGGGAATTAAAGGAGAATGATGGAGGGGCTGAATTCAAGTATGATATATTTGATATATTGTAAGAACATCTGTGAATGCCACAATGTACCCCAAGCACAAAAAGAAAAAAAAAGAAAAAAAATTCTTGCCAGAGGAAACCTGTTATAGGATAGGAAACGCAATAAACACAATGAATTACCAAATTTATTTAGGAGATGATCAGCACTGTTCAACCAATAAAAAAAAAAATGAGATAGGCTCTGGCACCAGTGGCTCACGCCTGTAATCCTAGCTGCTCAGCAGGCAGAGATCAGAAGGATCGAGGTTTGGGCAAATAGTTCGAGAGACCCTATCTTGAAAAAATTCCATCACAAAAAAGGGCTGTTATGGTGGCTCAAGGTGTAGGGTCCGAGTTCAAACCGCAGTACCGCAAAAAGAAAAAAAAGGATGAGATAGGTATATGTGTTATGGTCTCATATACTTTTTGCCCTCCAAATATTATGTGGAAATCTAATCCCTATTATGAGATTAGTAGCAGCTGAGACGAGGTAGAACCTCTAAGAGGTGATTAGGGCTCTTCATGAACGGATTCATCTATTAATATGATTAATAGGTTAATGGGGTTTTTCTGAGAGTGAGTCTAATGTAAAAGCCACATGGCTGGGTCTTTAGAGCTCCCTGTCTCTTGCCATGTGACAGACACCCTGTGTTGTGTAGGGACTCTGCCAGCAAGAAGACCATCACAAGATGTTGCCCCTGTACCTTGACTCAGAAACATGGGCCAAAGAAAACCTTTCCTCTTTATAAGGTACCCAGTTTGTTTCTTAGCAACAGAAAAGACAATGTGTTCTAACCTGTGTATTTTAAGTTTTGTACATATATATCAGAACATACACACACACACACATACACACACACTCACATCCACAATTATGTCTGTAAACTTAGGCAAACATCTACAAAGTCTTCCCCAAACTGTTCTCAGTGTGTGACAGGGTTGGGGGGAGTGCAAACACTCGTGACATATACACTGGGGGATTTATAAGTGGAATCTTTGTGCGGTTCTTAGCATTTTTTCCAATTAAAATTATTTTAACACTGTCCAGATAAATAGTTTTAGCACCTGAGAAATTGGTTTTTTTCAGTATTTGTTTAAACCTCTGCTGACAATAAAATAATCTGGTTCTAAAAAAAATTAAAAGAAATCCAAGTGCTAGGTATTTCCAAATCTTCCCATCTGCACAACTGATCCCTACTCTAAAGGAAGACAAGAGAATTTTCTATAAAGAAACTAAGAGATTACTTGTAAAACTGAAAAGGGCCCATCAATCTCAGACATAATGAATTAAAATAAAATAAGCCACATCAAGGCAAAACATTATAAAATTTCAGAATATTAGGGGTAAGAAAAGCCATAACTTGGAGACTAGGGACTGGGGGCGGGATCAACATGGTTTTGAAAGGGACTTCTACAAAAAAGAAAAAAAGTTAAAGTAACAGACTGCCTGATGTGTCTGAACATACTGAACTGACACATTTGTCACAGAACTCAGTGTATATAAAAATTTTATACCAAAAAGGTAATTGCTATTGCTTTTTCAGTGTTTTGTTTTTTCTTTTTCATTAGCATACATTAATTGTACAAGGGTTTCATTGTGATATTTCCACACACTCACGATGTACTTTGATCAAATTCACCATCTCTATTACTCTTTATCTTCCCTCTCCCTTTTTAAAACAATGGGTTTCATTATTTTATTCACATATGTGAATATGAATGACTTCAATCATAAAACTTAAAAAGTGGGAAGGGGAGTGGAGGAGAGGGGAGGAATCAAGAGCACCTGCCTAGCAAGGATGAGGCTTTGACTTCAAATCCTACTTCCATCAAAAAAAAAAAATAATAATAATAATTTAAACAGTGGCTCAAAGCTAGAGATCTTGCCTTGTTACTAGTTTTGACATGTTGAATGTGAGATGCCTGTGGGAAATACCTATGGAATAGTTGTGTATTACTTCTCTTAAAATGAAAAAATCCCAGAGTCTATTCATCTCGTTTCTAGCTACCATATATATCCACAGTATACAAATACATGAATTTCATAATAACAATACCAATATTTATAATCACAATAGCATACTAGTAAGCTCAGTTAAATTTCTCTTTTTCTTTTGGTTATACTGCTCTGTTCTATCAGGGATGTACAAGTAAAACACTACATATTAAGTATCTTGAAATATTTTTTTCATAAGCCTGCCATAATAGCATATAGTTAAGTTCAAATGTTATAATCTGACTTATTCTTTAAAAGCTCATTTTCTTTGTCTTTATTATTTTCTCTTAAATATATTGCAATCTTGGGGATTGGACACAGAGGGCAATCAAGAAGCTGGGCAGTGCTCCAAGTGCCTGTGATCCCAGTTACACAGGAGAATGTAAGAACGAGGTTCATCGGTCTTAAGGCGGCCCAGGACAGAAACATTAAGACCCTACCTGAAAAGTAACTAAACGTACAGCTCAAGTGGTAGACTGCCTGCCTACCAAGCACGAGGTCCTGAGTTCGAACCCCACGGACACCAAAAAAAGAAAAGAAAAGAAAACATTAAGTACCGGTCTTTATTTGTACTCTCAAAATCACTCTAAAGCTGTACTTAGAGATCATTCCTTTTTAATAGTAATCCATTGTAGGGTTGAATATGCTACCTAATCAGTTGTTATTAATTTTTTTATCAGCATTGTGTCATGACATATAGAACTTTTTGTACTTTAGTTTGTTCATCCCTTTTCTGAACACACCTGCAATAGGTTGTTTTTTAGTTATTTTACTTTATTTTGGAATTATCATACATTAACAATATAGGGGAATTTCACTGTGATAATTCCACACATGCACAGGATGTACCTTGAACAAGATTGTGTTTTTAAACACCAGCAAAAAAGAGGTATTTTGCTTGTGCCAAACATACAAAAATTTTCTTCATGTAGGTTACACTGCAAAGTATAACCTGGATGCTAAAGTCACAATACCTACGTTTATGTCATAGTTTCAAAACTTACTATCTGTGTGACCTTGGACAAATCACTTACCTCTTTGTCATTTAATTTCTCATCTATAAAAATGGGCAAAAGAACAGGACTATTATATTTATTATGAGTAGTAAATGAGCTCTACACGTTATTAATGAGCTTAAAAACATGTAGCATGTAATAAATGATGGTATTAGTTATTACTATTACCACAGAACAAATTAGACCTTAAAAATATTTGTTGGGATAAATTCAACTACGATAAATTGTAAGAAATCTTTTAAATGTCACAATGAACCTCCAGTCAGTACAAATAAAAATAAAGTATAAAAGAATACCCAACTCCTTGCTTACAAATAAAACCCATCTTTGTGTTGCCAATATATATAGATATATATATGTAGATATCTCCATATAGGTAACTACATACACATATCTATATATTTGTGTTATTGAAAGCCATTCATCACAGCCAATGAAAGGAACTTGGCTTAACAATGAATGTTTGTATGACCATGAGAGAAATGAGAACTTAAAGTAGTATGTATAAGGATGTATACACGAAAATATTTCAAATTAGTGTTGACAATTTAAATTCGAGTATTTTTAGAATACAATTGTATTCATTTAGATAACTTGTTCCAAGTTACAGAATAAAGCAGGGGTTTTTTTTGTTCCAAAACAAAAAAATGGTCCTAAGGCAGGCATACTGATCACTCCATTCAATTTTCCTAACACTGTAATTTCTTTTTTATCTCAAAGAACAAAGAATTTACTTGCAGGAGCTGTCAGGAATTGGTGTAATAGTGACAGTCAGTCAAACATATACTAAGAATGCTATATACCATACTGTATTGCAAAACAGCATCTGAGCAATATTGAAAATGAAAACTATGAGCTAATATTACAAACTATTAAATCACACTAGAATTCGGAGAGCAGGAAAACACCTAAAACTTTGACAATTGTCTCAGCCTTCGAATATAGTCATAAAGCAAAAGGACCATTGCCCTAAAATATTCCTTTATATAAAAGCACAAGAAATTTACTCACAGTAACTAGAATTCCTAGTATTCAACATCCATTGATTAAATAATAAAATCCATTTTCTGAGATATCAATTTGAACATGTGAATGTTTATACAAAAATACTGCCTCAAACACATCAGATCCTCAATTTTTAAACGAAATAGCTGTATCCTGTTAATGATCTACTGCTGGCATGCTTACAGAGAAACTAACTAAATCTGCAAGCCGAGTTAAATGTTACAAATACGTTATTACGTATTTGGATGGTGACCGATCTGTCCTGAATCATTCAACCCAAAAAAGTTAGATACAACTGAGGGAGATACATGACATCACTCTTTTCACTTCAAAGAAAAATGGGAAAAGAAACAGTTTTTTGACACTAAAATTATAAGGATAGGGTATAGTATGTAAGTTTGGAATTTTCCATAATAACTTTCTTCAAAAAAATATTATTGTGAAGAGCAAGAAATAAATATAATTAATTTTACCTAGCTAAATCATCATCAATCATCATCATCATCATCATCATGGGACTTGATTGTGAAAGGATGAATGGGGGAGTGGATCAGCAGAAGGGGGGCGGAAGGAGAGGATACTGGCGGGGTGAAGAAGAGCAAGTGTGTTTTACGTATATACACACACATACGAAAACGGCATAATGAAACACTGAAAAAAGGGGAGAAGGGACTAAGGGAATATAAAGGGGGTAATCTTATGCAAAGTGTACAGTGTGCATCTATGGAATTATCACAATGCGTCCTAGTACTAGAAATGCATTCTAATTTTAAAAACTGGAAAAAAGAGCCAAGTGAGATACCTAGTTCATGATAACGATAGACTGCCATCTTATAAATAGCCTGTTTAATTTTTTAAAAGTACTTATTTAGAAGAAACAGTGTAGGAGTTAGAACAACTTAGTTCAGTTTGTTTTTCCTACAGCCAAAGATCTAGAAACCAAATAAATTCGTCTACAAGGTATAGGCCTGTTTCTCCCAAAGGTACCCTGTAAAATGAGATAGATAGATTAATTAGATAAAAACAGCCAACTCTTAGCTTATTACATGCTAATTACTTTGTTATGTGTCAAATGGTCCTCATATCAACCCTAGTAAGTTGGTAAAGTTTAGATCTTTTTTTTACAGATGGAAAGTGAGAAGGAGAATAGCACGCTCACATTACACAGGTATGAAGTAGCCAAGCCAGTCTTCTAACCTGGCATCTCGCTTCAGTTCATAGTCTTACCTGCTACGTTTATATTCCCTCCATTTTGTGAGAGTACAAATAAAAGCAAGTAGCAAGAAAGAAGCAAATTATTCTTCTCAGAACATCACTGCCCCCTGTTTGATGGAAGTTTCAGAATGCCTACTATAAATAATTCACAATAAGTCATCTTTACTAGTAAAAGCACAGGAACACTTTTTATTAAAAAAAAAAAGGTTCTATTCAAATTTGGTCTGGAAAGTGTTTGAACGGGAGAAATAACATTTTTTTAAATTACTTAAATATATGGAATGTAATTAACACAGAGGATATCAAATATTGCATAGTCACAGATTCTTAAAGATCATTAAACAGAACTCCTTTGTATAATAAATGAGGGGACTAAAAAAGCCCAGAATACACTCAAGAACTTTTATAAGCAGCAGAGCTGGGAGTGCAAGCCAAGACACAGGGCAAGGAGAGACTAGCAAATAAAGGTATCAGTATGCTTCATATGGCATTTCTACGGGAAGTACAACCTTTAACATAAAAACTATGGGTTCCCTGCCTTTCAAATTACTACGTATTTATTCACAGACAACTGAGGACACATTACCTGCACTCTGGATCATGGAGAAACTTATAGGCTAGTAGAAGAGTCTAGTAAGAGGAAGACTTAAAAGTCTATACAGAGAACAACAAAATGGCATGACAATTTTCTCCAATATTAGTATTTCATACTATAGTGGTAATGCTGAATAGTTGAGGCAAAGACTATAATGGCCCACAGACATTAAATATTTACTATCGAATCCTTTATAGGAAAAGGGCCTGAGCCACTGGGCAAATGACTGGAAAATCAGCAGACAGTATCAAATACAACCAGTGTAAAAGTCTGACCAATCACATGCATGTTCATGAATATTTATTATTATATGTTCCATGTGTTTATGTCTTTGAAAACAGCACATTAAATCTGACACACCAGAGCAAGTTAATGACTTGCTGATTAATGACTACTCTTTAGTTGCATTAACACCTATTGTATTGCTTAATATGAAAAAAGGCTTCTACCGAATGCACAAACTTATACCCACTTACTCCCCAAAGTATACTTTGGGTTTCCCAAAAAGTTACTGTTACTCAAATAACATTTTTTATATGAACTTGTTCTTGTAACCACCTTTTCATTTTACTGGTAGAAAATCAATTTCGAGGATCTGAGATAATTACAGTTTTCACATTAGAAATGTAAGTTTGTTATGACAGTAACATTTAGCTGAACCAGAATTCAATTCGTTTATCTGAATCATAACACAACTAAGTCGAGCACTGGTGGCTCATGCCTGTAATCCCAGCTACTCAGGAGGCAGAAATCAAGGAGGACCGCAGTTCGAAGCCAGCCGGGGCAAACAGTTTGAGAGAACATATCTTGAAAAAAACACATCGCAAAAAAAAGTGCTGCTGGAGTGGCTCAAGGTGTGGGCCCTAAGTTCAAGCCCCAGCACCGCACCACAAAAACTAAGAAATTAGAAATTTAACAACTATGCCTGACAAAGCCCATACATAATATATATATATATATATGTATATACATATAGAGGTAATAATATATTTTTATATTCAAATATACATTTATAATTGTATGTAAATTATTATATGCATATAATACAACTTCTATCATTAACTTATAGATATAATACAAAAAGATACTGTAAAACTATAGGCTGTTGGTTTTTAATTATAGGCAGATGAAGTTTCAGATGTCACTAGTTTGGAGACAATTTGTTAAAAAAGTTTTTAAACCCTTGCTATAAAGTGAGGCATCAGGACAGGAAAGATTCCAACCAGGTGAGACTTTGTTAGAAATCCAGAACTGCATTCTAACAAGAATGCGTATGCACATTCAAATTTGAAAACTCTGGTGCAGAGGTATTAAGCCAATTGAACGCTGCTAAAACTACATATTCTCCAGAACTGTATCAACTCTTCTCTTCGCCAACCATCAGCCCAAAAGGAAGGTCCCTCTCTACAAAAAACTCAAAGATATTCAATTTCACCAGTGGGTTTTTAATCATTTGTTGATCATAAAAAGATGACAATACCTTGAGCACTTGAATTTGACCTTCTGTAGTAATTTCCTGTAACAGCTCACAGAAGGACTGACAAAGACCTACTGCATATGTCTGAAAGTCAATCAAAAGACAATGTACAGATAAGAATTAAATCTGTAATATCAAAAAAGTATAAAAAGCCTAATTTCGGACTTACTATATTCTACACGATAAGTATATACTGAAGATCTAGGCAAACAGTTTCAATTAGAATTCTTAGGAAGAGTTAAGGAAACAGACTCTATCTAATAAAAATAAGAGTTACTGATATATTGGATTTTATGGGACTGTAAGAATATATGTATTTACATAGTCATTTTCTGTATTAAATAACAATGGGATTGCATGCTCATCACATCTTCCCTGCAGTGGGGGATGCTCACAATAAAGTTCTTGTGCGTACACACACACACACACACACACACACACACACTTAAAGTAACAGCCCAATCTTAAAATTTTAAAAAGACATCTTCCGATTTCAAACAAAAACTAAAATAACTACGTGATTTCTCACAATGCAAAAACAACTCCAACATACCTGTAAAAACTCTGTTGATGATAAAAATATATAACCATTGATGATCTTAAAGCAGGTTCTGAGATTTTCTGAACTTAGTTCTGTCAAAACAATAATTTTGCTTTTTTAAAAAGGACAAATTCATTCACTGTTCAAAATTCATTCTTTGTTTCCTTCCTTTGATAAGATTTTGCCATGTAGCCCAGGCTGTCCTCAAACTGGGGAATCCTCCTGCCTTGGCCTCCCAACTGCTGGAATTATACATGTACGCCACCACACCCAGTCATACCTTGCTTTACAAACCTTTTCTGAGACCTATTTAGATTATAATTACCTATGAATATCTACCTAAAAACTGTAACCTAACACTATCCCATTTATCTTTCACTAGTTAAAACAACTTAGGAAAAAGACATCAAGCCCCTCCCTTTTTTTCCATTCCAAAAAATACCTAGATAACCATTTCACCCAAGTTTGCATTTCAAAGTAAGTTTTTAGTGCTAATAGGGCAAAAAACATGTGACTGAACCATTTCATCATTATATTTTTCTGCCACCCGCATAGATGTGTTCACTCAACGACAATTTACTGTGTGTGATTGCACTGGCACTACACGTGCTATCTTACTATGAAAAACAGTCTCTTTAAGGCCCTCCAAAATTGTACCACGTTTAAACATTCTCAGTCCTTGGGATTTGTGTTTCAAATAACTCTTCCATCTCATAAAAACCTATACACACACACACACGCACATACGCACACACACGCACACACACACGCACACGCACACACACACGCACAGAAAAATGTTCTTAAGTATGTCATTACCAGAATAGCATAAGAAAAAGAGTATCTGTCAGCTATTCCTTCTCAAGTTCCAAGAAGAAGCCAGTGTTCAAGTTAAGTGGGACCGACACTGATGCAATGCAATTTTACACATCTCATTTCATGGCTCATACGGCAATATGATACAACACAAAACAGATTATATATTATACAGATCAGAACACATCAAAAGGTCATCTATGTCTAAAACCTGAAACTCCTTGTTGAGAGTAGCTTAGAAATTCTTTTCACTTGCAATAAAACAGATTAAAAAAACTTTTTTCTGGCAAAATATATTGGCTTTGCTCTTGTATTCTTAAAAAACTAAATAGATATGCAAATCAGATGTGAATTTCCATTTATAGTCAATACTGATATTAAAGAAGCCACACAATTAAACACCCCACAAAGCACAGGAAAGCACCTTACAACAAAGGTCCAAAATGTCTACAGACCCAAGAACGAAAACCTCTAACTTAAGCGATTCACTTTTTCTTCTCACATACTGCAACGTGCTCTGTGCTGAACCCTTGGCCAACAAGTATCTAAGTCACGGTCCGTGTATTTATGAGTTCTATGTATCAACCTGACTAGGTTGTATAAGCTGCTCCTCTTTGTTTTTTTTTTAATTGTTTTTATTACTATTTTTAATTTGTATTTTCATTTTCGTATTGCTTTAAATCTGTATAAAGGGGTAAGGAATAAGTTATTGAATTACATGTATAAGGTAACTAGCCCCTTCCAAAGCAGACAGGATATTACCAGCAGAAAAATTTTTACTATTCAATGAATATTTATTGAGCTCAGCATTCAGAAAACTGATAAGAGCCAATCAGATGTACTTCTTTTAATTAATAACAATACTAAGTAAATTAACATCATGAAGCAGATTTGAATGAAAAATAAGCCATAAACACTGAACTAATAGGAACTGGTGGACTGGCTCAAGTGATAGAGGGCCTACCCAGCAAGTGCAGTGCCCTGAGTTTAAATCCCAGAGGCCCCCACCACACCAAAAAATAAAAATAAATCAATAGAATTTCGTTTAGTTATAGTCTCTATTTCTACTTATCCTAAAAATCATTAATGTAAGCATCTTAAAGTGTTCAATAAGGTTGGGTTTCACGTATTTTAAAACTAAAATGGGAATGTTCTTGCCAATAGCTTCACCTCTACTTATCACTGATGTATTATGAATATGTTTTAACTGATGGCAAAACTGAGTGCTATTTTTGATTTATACTCTTAAAAGAAGAAAACAAACATTCTGGTTGTATTTTAACATGAATTTTAAAATATCTGAAAGACTGCATAGGCAAAAAGCTACGTGTCAAAGACTACATATGCAAAAGGCTACGTGTCAAACATCATCAATTAGTGGTACAATACTGAAACAAAATAAAGGTCATAGTGCTATTAAGATATACAAAATATGCATAGATGTGATTTGTAGTTTCTTTATATTATTGAGGCAAATACACATATCATACTGGACAGAATAAATGATACATATTTTTGTTTTGAAAAATCAACAGTGGGAAGCATCAGCTCTTAATTCGGCTGGGTAACAAATCCTACAGAGACAGTTGGATATTTTTCCTTTGAAAATAACAGTAATGTTAATAGTTGTTAACAGTATTAGCAGGAATAAACATAATAAACATAAACTGCTGACTAGATGCCAGACATTGTTTTAAACGCATGGACATTCTTATTAATTTGATAAGGGCTATGCATCAACTATAAAGCTTTCTTTATAAAAAGCTTTTTTCTGTGGTGAAACTATACTATACTAGAGTCACAGTAGCTACGGCTACTCTAAAAAATAGTGTCATATGATTACAGTAGGGTTAGTAATATGCTTTTTTTTTTTTTGCTTAAATGTCCAGCTACCAATCCCCTAAAAAGGCCGTCACCAGAAAGTAAAGGGAAACAAAACAGGCGTTTCCTCACCTTTCTCGCTGATGACTGAAAGACAAAAAATTTTCCTAGGACATCAGCAATAAGTGACTAGCCTATTGCCACGGGCATTACCTTTGGGAGTATTTCTCTTTGTGGTGAAGGTAGATGAAAACTAGCACATGGCTTTTATTAGAAAACAAATAGTTAATTTAGTTATCATCTGAGAGTTCATCTCTTCTAAGGAGGAATGGAAAACCTATAAACTCAAGAAGGCTCAGTGTGGTGGCCCATGCCCATAATGTCAGAACTTGGTGGGATGAGACAGAAGGATGGGAGTTAAAGAGGAGAGACAAGAGGGGAGGGGAGTGGAGAAAGAAAAACAGAAAACAAAGAGGAAAGAAAAACAGCAAGGGCGGGAGAGGGAGGAAGACAGAGAAAGAGGAAGGAATTGGGTGGGGGGGGTAGAAAAGAAAATATAAAGGACTAATCACATTAGCTAGCCAGCATGGTCATCCAACAAATGAGGAGACAAAATGTTTTCTAGTCAGTTACAACTGTGTTTTAGTTCACATTTGTTGATAGTTTCAACGGGTGGCTCTACTTTTCCAGTATGTCTTTATATCTCAGAAGTATTTTTGCTTCGGATAAAATTTCTCAGTACCAAGTTCTCAGGCAACAAGTATTCAAACTGAAAATGAATCAGAGGACCAGTAAGTTGCACTGTGTATAAATCTTAAATACAATATGAGTTTAGATGTGTAACTGCACTGGTAAACTCCCACACAAACAACTGTGTAACCAGAGTGAAGGGACTGGCAGAGTAGCTCAAATGGTAGAGAGCCTGTGTAGGAAGAATGAGGCCCTGATTCAACCCCAGTACACGCCGTCCCCCAAAATAAGATCTACCAAAAACAAAACAAACCGGAACAAAACAAAAGAAACTGCAAATCCGGGGTTGTAGCTCAGTGGGAGAACCTAGTAATATGCAAGGCCCTAGGGTCAATCCCCAGCAGCACAAAAAAACGTTTTTTAATCTATTACATAATTGAGAATGGTAGCTAATAAGGAACAGACAAGCACTGATTTTATTATTATTTATCATCAGAATACATGTTCAGAGTTGGGAAAAGATTCTAAGTTAGAGCTCCAAAAAGACTAAAAGAGACTAAGTGCCCATTCCTAGCATAGTAACCAGTTCTCCAGTTTCATACATCAAAACTATTACTTAAAGACTGCTTAGGGAGTCCAAGCATAGTGGTGTATGTCTATAATCCCAGCTATTTGGGAGGCAGAGGTAGGAAGACCACAGTTCAAAGACAGCTCCAGGCAAAAAATGCAAGACCCTGTCTGAAAAATAAAGTGAAAAGGCTTGGGGAGATGGCTCAAATGGTAGAGCAATTGGCTGGCAAACTAGAATCCTGGGTTCAATCCCTAACACTTCACAAGTACGTACATAGCACATTCGGACAGCAGTTATAACTCACTGGAGGAGCACTTGCCTAAAATGCAAGAGACCCTACTTTTCATCCCCAGCACCACAAGGGGGCTGTGGGGGGGGCGTGGGGGAGGGGAGAGAGGTCATTAAGGTTCATGATTATTATAGGTCATTCATAAGTAATACATGAACTATGCATCTATCTCTAGAAAATATATACAACTTCCTAACATTTAATTTCAGTGGTTCTTTAGCAAAGACACAGATATATGTACAAAACTCTTCTTGAGCAACTAGTGCACAAAATCTGTAAAAGAAGCTGGAAAAAGCCATGGTATACAAAATCAGTTTTATAATACAGTTTTCTAAATAGCATACAGAGCCGCTATCAAACAGAAACTTTATCAGATCTGTAATTAGTTTCCTAAGAATATATTATGCTTTTATTACAAAATTATCCACAAGGCAATGTGTTCAATTTTAAATGAACAGAAATTATGATTCCAAAGATACACAGGAAATTCTAGAAACTATAAAAACACTATTCAAACTATTTGTCAATAATAGGGACAGTACTAAACATGATGGTATAATTTTAAGTCAGCTATAATATCCCCAAATTGTTGTTGCATTAAAAACAAAATCAGTGAGTTGATGTTTTCATACATACCTAGAAGTGGTGACATATTCTGGAATATACGAAGCAACTCTGGTGTAATACATGGGCTGTTTTCCAATGTTACTAACCTAGGAAGGAGAAGCAGATGATTGAATCACTTTCAATATGCTTAATGCCATTAACACACCTAAAATATTAAAAAGTCTCATGAAAAGGAAGAACAGGGCGATTATACCAAATTATAAAAATTACCTTTCTAAGAGAAAAAATTTTAAATGCCTCAACCCAAAAGAACCCATGTACCAAAAAAAAGTGTAATAATATTTCTATATACTTAAGTATTATTAGTAAAGTATAATAATGACATCATAATTTTAAATAACAAGCATGATTATCATGAATTGGTAAAAGGGATAAAATTACTTGGTTGTTCTGATATTCCTGATAAATTCTTCATCTTGTCATTGATGTGTCCCTTCAACGAGACACTGGGTTAATAAATTGTTTTCTATATATGAACTTAGTACTATGAAGGTCAATTACAAGCCGCTTTCACAGTGTTAGCATGTGAAACAACCACCGTATAAAACATATCATCCACCCATCTATCGATCGATCAACCGATTGATCTATCTATCCATCTATCTCCATAGATATAGTGGTTTATCACAGAATTATACAGTTAGCATAACTACTCTCTTCCCATCAGCCCCAAAGAAGTTAAAGGACAAAAGAACACCCATGACTATCACAATAGCAGCAAGGAGGGGAAAAAACCTGTTTAAAATCTAAGGTCTGGGATTGCTATAGTGGGATCTGGAATGTCTCCAAGGCCCCCTTGCCAAAGCTTGGTCCTGACCTTAGTGCTTTTGGAAGGTGGTGAAAACCTTTAAGAGATGGGGTCCACGGGGATGTTTTAGGTCACTGCAGACTTGGCCTCGAAGGGCACTGTATGTGGGATGCAGTACCTGCCTCTTTCTTTCACATCTGTCTGAGCAATAAGCAGGTTTCCTCTGCCACACACTCTGCCATGACGGATTGTGCCACCACACGCCAACAGCAATGGGATCACACAGTCATGGACTGAAACCTCCAAAACTGTGAACCAAAATAAGTCTTTTCTCTTTAGAAGGTGCTTATCTCAGCTACTTGCTACCATAACAAAACACTGACACAGGTACAAAAACTCTCATCTGATCATAAATAGAAAGGAACCTCCTCAATCTGATTGAAGAAACTACCACTCACAGAAATACACTGAGTGATGACTCACCTAAGTTATTCTCTCAAAACACAGAAGGAAGCCATTAAGAATACCTACTGCCTTGTCCACTTACACATTTATTGAGGATATACATGGAGGATCGCTCATATACCAAGTTAAGTTAAAAGATAAAATCAGTAAGAGAGGAAAAAGTGAAGTTCCTTATTATTAAAAGACATGACTATAGAAAAGGAAAAAAAATCATGACCAAATAAATTCCTGAGAGTTTGGCAAGACTGCTGAATGTATCCGTATACAAAAATCAAATGACTTTCTATATAACAAAAATGCTGTATGGAAGGAAGTTATCAGTTATAGATATAAAAACCCAACATCACAAGGATGTGAATTCTCTCTAAATTGTTAAACACATTTGACAGTCTAAATAAAAATACTTACAAGGCTTTACCTGAAAATTAGGCAAACTGATTATAAAACAATTTGGAGGACAAATGGCAAAGTACAAAACAAACATTTTTTCAAGAAAATAAAAATTATAGCAGAGCACAGTATCTCACACCTGTAATCCTTGGCTACTTGGAGGGGGGGCGGCGGGGAGAGATCAGGAGGACCTTGCTTGGAGGACAGCCCGGGCAAAAAATTGGCAAGACCCCCATCTCAACAAATGAACTGGGTGTGGTGGTACGTACTCGTCATCCCGGCTACATAGGGTGTATAAGTAGTCCAGCGAGGGCCCTGGCAAAACTGTAAGACCTACTCTGAAAAAATAACTAACGCCAAAAGGGTGAGAACATGACTCAAGTGGCAGAGTGCTTGCCTAGAAAGCGCAAGGTTCTCAGTCTAAACCATACTATTGCCAAAAAAAAAAAAAAAAAAAAAAATGTGTTATTTATGGGGTGGGGACTGAAGAGAGATGCTTGCTTACCAGATATTATGACTGACAACAACATTGTAGTAATCAATTTAAGTTAATAAAGAAAATAGAAAACAAAATAAAGACTCTACTTGTCAATGGGTCCCAATGAAGATTTTACATGAAGCCTGTTGTTTGCTTCCTACTTTGTCATATTGTCACCTTATTTCCTAGGCTAGCCTTAACAGGATAAACCATGCAGTATTCAAAAGAAGGACCAAACTTGAATTCAAACTACTTAAAAATAAAAGGACAAGGTATGTAACTTTACATGAAGCTACTAAAGATGGAGGAAAGAGAAGTGAGGCAAGCAAAATCACAGCACTAGTCCTCACCGTTAAAAAATAAAAAAGGTTATTGTTGTTATTAATAATTAACAGAGTTAAATGAAAAATTAATGGTATTCTTCCACGAAAAAAAAGAGAGAAATGATAATATAAACAGCCAGATTCTCGATTCATCAGACAAATGTAAGACATAATTCTACTGAATTAAAGCAGCTTGGGTGAAGCTAAAAAAATGTATAAAACTTTGTTTTTTTACAGAAAACTAAACATCAAACAAGCTAAAATGTAAAAGATGAGTTTAAACACTTAAGTCAAATCTAAAATAAACCATAAGATGATACTGACATCAGATAAAATGTAAACGCAAAAGAATTTAAACAATGGAAAGCAAATTGCTACATACAGTTAATAGATAATATCGCTCATGAAAACGTACCAGTAGGACTGGGGATAAGGCTCAAGTGGTAGAGCACTTGCCTAACGAACGAACACAAGGTCCTGAGTTCAAGTGCAGTAATGCATTAAAAAAAAAAAAAAAAAACCTTAAATGCTAAATTTTTTATGTCCTTTCTACAGTGCTAGGGATTACATTCAGGGCTTCAGAAATGAGCAAGCACTTTATTACCACTGGGCTCCACCCCCAGAACTAAATTAATTAAATAAACAACGTAAGAAAGTACCAAAACACCAAAATGTTCTATAGTGAGGTTATTTTTTTAAAACGTATAAATTAAAAAAAAAAAAAAAAAGAACTAAAAAGACACACTGACACACAGAAAACTGAATGGGATTATTTTAGTAAATCAGTGTCAAGGAGAGCAACATAATAAATGTGAACTATACAACTGATAATTTTAAAAGAACAAATGCATATAAAAGCCTACGTCTTTCATATAATCACTGCACTGGTGTGTAAATGTATTACCAAAATGGTGCTAGTGCCCTGAAAATTCATACTAAATTTAAAGAAAATATTTTATAAGCCACATATTATAAAGGTAACATAATAAATCTAGACCTGAATCATATGCTCTAATAACTGCGAAAATAAACAATAATGGCACAAAGATGTCATTAAAAAAACCTGTAATGCTATCACCAAAATAAAAAGTAGGACACTGTGTATCAAAGCCTGTGGGAAATAGGCAATTATACTCCAAAACAACGTCAGAGCCCTAAATGTTTTGGCACCTAGTAAGAAAAAGAAAGGTAATAAATTAGACTCTTCTCTTACAGGTCTATAGAAAAACATACCTACAATTAAATGTAGGAAGTAAAAAGTATGAAGCAGAAATAAATTATGAAAAGGACAGAAACACAGAATTTATAAATCTAAGAGAAAGTTTTGTCTTGATAATGAAAAAGTCCTAATAAATGTACTTTAAAAAGAAGTAAAGTAAGAATGAAAGTATGAATAGCAGAGAGACAACAAGCATACACAAGTTTTTTTATCAGTACTTTTAAGGGACCAAGTGTCAAAATCAAAAGCCACGCTGGGACATGGCCAAAGTGTAGAGCAACTGCCCAGCAAGCACAAGACTTTGAGTTCAAACACCCAGTACCACCTTTCCCCCCAAAAAATCAAAAGCAAAATAAATAGGTACAAATTAGTATCTGAGGAACAAACTCTGAACATGTTATCAAAATCATAAATAAACCCCTAGCACACATCATGGGTCCATTTCCAGTTATTACTTAGTTCTTTAAATGTACAAAGAATACCTTATAAAAATAATTCTAGTATAAGGAAAATTACTTTAAATTGTGAAACTGCCCAAAATATCAAACAGTATCACAAAGTGTAGATCATAGATCCAACTCACTTAAAAAGAGAGGAACATATAAAATTAGACAAAGTTACCAAAATAAATTTTAATAATATTTAAAAGTACTAAAAGTGTAATTCAGATTAGGGGTGTGGCCAAAGTGATACAGAGTATTTTCCCAAATACGGTCTGCAAGTTTTTATTGGGCGTGGGGTGGGGGGAGAGAGCGCTGGCCTTAGACCCTGATCCTCCTACCTATGCTTTCCCATGTAGCTGGATGACAGGAGCCACCACCACATCCAGCTTATCTTTTGATGTGGGGTCTCGATAACTTTTTGCCCGTGCCGTCTTTGAACCTTGATCCTCCTCATCTCTACCTCCTGAGTAGCTGGAAATACAGGCACGGACCACTATACCCGGTGTAAACGAGGATCATACTAAATTTAATGGTATACCTGATACTGCTTACTGCCTACAGTATTCATTCCCTCATCGTATATGAGAGCAGAAATTAAACAGAAAAGAGTCAAACACAAAACTGTTTCTTTCACAAATCTCTAGTGAAATGGCTCAAGAGGAAAATTGCCAAGAAAAAAAAAAAATCATATAATTGGGCTGAAAGTTTTACTTCACATCCATGACCACACATCAACTGGTAAGTTCAAATTTTCATTCTTTGTAACTTCTCTCCTGCACAGACCTATTGCATCTTGCATGCACTCCTATTTCAACGCCTAACTACCAGCTGATGAACGTGCTTCAAAACTTACTGAGAAAACATAAGGCATTAGACGAAATTCCTTCCTATCTCATCACACTACAAAGTTCAGAAATCCACCCTCCTACATAGCTCCTGTTAATATGAAGTATCCTTAGTGTTATCAAAAGTCAACCTGTGCGCCTGAGCTCTCAATCCCACCCCTGCTTGTCTCCTTCCATTATCCTACTCTCTCAATTCAGCCTTACTCATTCCTCTACATCAGCCTTACAGTCTATATCCCTCTTTCCAGTAAAGGCCCACTAGTTACTGATGCTCAGTCTGCACTTACTTATCTCCAACTCATTCTTTGCTCTGCTCTAATGCTAATTTCTGTTCTCACCACCCCACTGAAAACCCTCCCATCCTCTCCTTGTGAAAGAATTCACTTCTCTATACTACCTTACTAGGACAATCAACAACACTTGACACAGAGGTGCCACTCCCTCTTCCAGGAAGTAAATCTCTCTTGGCTTGGTTTTCCTACTAGTCCAGTAGACAGCTCTTTTCTATCTTCTTAGATGTTTCCTCGCCTGCCCACAAAATGTTTTAAATCATTAGGATTCTGTCCTGGGCAGATTATTCTCTAGCTGCCTTTCTCTTCCTAGGAAATATTATATATTCAAGACTTTAAATAGCATCTATGAAGTGCTAATCACATTAGCAAACCCTCTCTCATCCTCATGACGACCACAGGAGGTGGGAATTACTTTTTCTAATTTTACACATAAAGAAACCAAGGCTCACCGATGATGAACAACTTATGTGAATCATAAATGGAACGCAGTGGTATTAAGTGGAATTGGCACCTGTATCTGTGTAATTACAAATATGAGTTTAGCCCCCTCAGAAAAATATATTATGAAATTTATAGCCTGATTCATTCACTTAGAGAAACTTAACTATTAATATATTTGATTTTTTTTTTAAACAGTGCTCTACAACTTTTTCTTGTACAAATAACTTAATGCTAAGAAAAAACTAATTATCATTAACAGGACAATGCATTTTTATTATTACACTGTTTACATAATCCTTTGAAAACTTACATATCTTTCACAAACACATTAATTGGTTAAATGTGCAATACTGATAAATCTGCCAAATTCCCCAAGAAGAAATGCAGCAGAGTTCCTACTACAATTTCCCTCTTAAACTTTGTCTATCGTAAGCCTACACTTAGCGGCAGCTGCCAAAAGGAGGCGCTGTTAGGTTAACAAGTTGGGAAAACCAATTTCACACACTTAGTTTTACATGCTGAATAGCTAAAGCCCTGTTACGTGACCATTACTTGGTTGGCATAAAAGTAGGGAAGGCCAGGAAAAAAAAAAAAAAAATGATCCATGGTATCAAGTTTTTCCTCTTACCATAATTCTAAACCATCTTCCAGAAGATAGACATGTGGAGGCTGGGAAAGATCTGTACTCAGTTGGATAACTGGGAGCAGGAAAGGGTACAGGTTCTTGCTGTCTGCTCCTAATCCCTATGGGAAGTAAAAATACAACTTATGATAAGGCACTGTAAGGTCCCTCCCCCCGCATCAAAAAATTACCAATCATCAAAAAGGCCCTGAAGCCAATTTATAAAAAATAAATTGAGTCATTTAGCGAGTCCTAATTATAGGCACTAGTAACACAATGCTACTTCTGTTTATTATTAGAAAGCAAGAATAAAAAAATACTATTCAACTGCATAATGGCAATTTAAGAATATATCCATATGCCAAGGTGACACACATCTGCTCATTTCAAGAGATTCCGCGTACAGGTTGAATATTCTTTCTCTGAAATAATCAGAACTAGAAATGATTCTGATCTCACAGGGTTTGTTTTTTTTTTAAATGTTTGCATATACATAATATAACTTGGGAATAAGAACCAAGTCTAAACACAAAATGTTTTTATGTTTCACATACAACATATATATATATCCTGAAGGAAGTTTTATGCCATATTTTTAGTGTGTCTGCATTCTGGACTCTGACCCATCCCATGAGGTCAGAGATGGACTATTCCACAAGTAGTATCATGTTGGTGTCCCCACAGTCTCAGATTTTGGAGCAATATGAATTTCACATTAGGAATGCTCAACCTGTTTAACAAATACTTATTTTCCCTTCCTTGTGACTACAGAAAAGGTATCAACATCGGCATTTTGTTGTTGTTCCTGTTTTGGTGGTCCTGGAGTTTGAACTCTGAGGACTCTACGCTTGCTACGCAGCCGCTCTACCACTTGAGTGACAACACCAGCCCTTTTGCGTACTGGGTATTTTCAAGATAGGGGCTCTCGAACTGTCTGCCCAGGCTGGCTTTGAACCATGATCCTCCTGATCTCTGCGCCTCCTGAATGGCTAGGGTTACAAGTGTGAGCCACTAGCGCCCAGATAACATTGGCATTTTAAATTATATAAACATTCTCACCTAAGTAACTAATGTAAAATGAACCTAAACTAAATGTTCATCAATAAAACAAATTATGGTACATCCATATTTTAGAATACTGAATGGTCATGGAAAAAAGTGACATGGAATGAAAAAAATCTAAAAAATTATTACAGCCCAGCACGAGTAGTTCACACCTATAATCCTAGCAGCTTGGGAGGTTGAGAGCTGGAGGATGGTGGTTTGAGGCCTGCCTGCTCAAACAGTTCACAAGACCCCACCCGCAAAATAACCAGGGCAAAATGGACTGGAGGTGTGGCTCAAGCCAAAGAGTGCCTGCTTTGCAAGTTCAAAGGCCCGAGTTCAAACCCCAGTCCCACCAAAATATAATAAAAATAATAATTACAAATTGGGCCTAAAAGGTACAAACGTGTATATACCAACAGTACATGCCAAAGAATATTTAAATATACATATACATTGAGTATGTGAGCAACAATAGTTCTGAAAGCAAAGAGAAAAAAACTATTAGTAATAGTTAGATATGGGAAAGAGAAAAAAGACACTGGACAGAGAGCAAAAAGGTTTTTTTTTTTTTTTCACTGTTTTTATCTTTAAAAAAATACATGCATACTATTTTAAGTGGAGAATTTTTGTTATATTTTTAATGAATCAAGAACACAAAGACCGAGGAAAAGAGAGTCTAGCTGGTCTTTTGAGAGGTGGACTTGGTGTATCACAGTAAAGGTACTTCAGAAGGAAACAGAAGAATTAAAACTCAATCTCTAAGCTATAATGAATTCCATAATCTAATAAGCATGGAAAGAAAACAAAATAAACTATCAAATATCTTCTCACTTAAGAGATGTTTAAAATGTCAATACAGTTTATAGCCAATTACAAGGCTGCAAAATATATACATATGTTTTTTTGCTAACATATTTTTATTTTTTTATTGTACTTTGAGTGAATAATACATTGCATTTCACTATAGGCACCATGTCAACAATAAATCTCCAGAATTTCTTCCTTCTGCCTAATGGAAATGTTGTGTCTGTCACCCAAATCATTTCCCTGTTTTACCTGCTAGCAATCACCTTTCTACTGTTGAGCTCAACTTTTTTTTTTTTATCCACATATGAGCTCATGCAGTATTTGTCTTTCAGTTGATCATTATCTGTGGAGCATAAACACTTCAGATAAAGTTTATTCTTAAATATGGTAAGGGGAAATTTGACCCTCTTTCTAAGAAAAAATAATTTCAAACACCTTATAGAGTTTTGCAAAGGCAGACAACTATTAAAATGCACATTATTTCATTAAGTAGTGTATTGGGCCGTAAAATTCAGTTAAATTCCACTCACCATAGATCAGACTTTTCACAAAAAGAGGAATTAGACCACGACAGAGAGGGAGGGAGGGAGAAAAAGGGAGAGAGAGGGAGAGAGAGAGAGAGAGAGAGAGAGAGAGAGAGAGAGAGAGAGAGAGAGAATATGGTAAAACTGGTCATGTTCACATACATTATCAAGTAGACTGAAAATTCCCTAGAAAGGTTAGAATTTACCTACTCCCACCTCACCCCTGTTAGAATAGCCATCATCAGCAACACCACCAACAACAGGTGTTGGCGAGGATGCGGGGAAAAAGGAACCCTCTTACACTGTTGGTGGGAATGTAGACTAGTACAACCACTCTGGAAAAAAATTTGGAGGCTACTTAAAAAGCTGGACATCGATCTACCATTTGATCCAGCAATACCACTCTTGGGGATATACCCAAAAGACTGTTACTCCAGAGGCACCTGCACGCCCATGTATATTGCGGCACTATTCACAATAGCCAAGTTATGGAAACAGCCAAGATGCCCCACCACTGACGAATGGATTAAGAAAATGTGGTATCTATACACAATGGAATTTTATGCAGCCATGAAGAAGAACGAAATGTTATCATTCGCTGGTAAATGGATGGAATTGGAGAACATCATTCTGAGTGAGGTTAGCCTGGCCCAAAAGACCAAAAATCGTATGTTCTCCCTCATATGTGGACATTAGATCAAGGGCAAACACAACAAGGGGATTGGACTGTGAGCACATGATAAAAGCGAGAGCACACAAGGGAGGGGTGAGGATAGGTAAGACACCTAAAAAACTAGCTAGCATTTGTTGCCCTTAACGCAGAGAAACTAAAGCAGATACCTTAAAGCAACTGAGGCCAATAGGAGAAGGGGAACAGGTACTAGAGAAAAGGTTAGATCAAAAAGAATTAACCTAGAAGGTAACACCCACGCACAGGAAATCAATGTGAGTCAATGCCCTGTATAGCTATCCTTATCTCAACCGGCAAAAACCCTTGTTCCTTCCTATTATTGCTTATATTCTCTCTACAACAAAATTAGAAATAAGGGCAAAATAGTTTCTGCTGGGTATTGAGGGGGGGGAGCTGGGTGGTAAGGGATGGGGTGGGGGCAGGGGGGAGAAATGACCCAAGCCTTGTATGCACATATGAATAATGAAAGAAAAATGGAAAAAAAAAAGAATTTACCTACTCAAGTACCTATTCAAAGAAGCAAAATAAACTAGCATTAGCAAAACTAAAACCAGTAACTGCTAAACACACAAAGTCTCTCTTAGTCAAAGCCTACGGAAGGAAATTCAATGCCTTGTAATCTAGTGGCTGAAGAAATGGGCCAATCCCTGACATGGAGATTTAAGTAAATTTGCGTGCAATCTGGGCCCTCAGTAAAGCTAAGACATTGCCTATGATACTATGAAAACTCACAAATAAAACCCATTAGTTATTAAGAAAACTATTGGAGGATATGAATCCAGGCAGCTATACCCACCTGATTGTTGACAAAGGTGCCCAAAATCTATGCTGGACAAAAGACAGCCTGTTCAACAAATGTTGCTGGGAAAACTGGATATCCATTTGTAGAAGACTGAACTAGATCCCTGTCTCTCAACCTATACCATTATCAACTCAAAGTAGACCAAAGTCCTAAATGTAAGGCCTGAAACCTTGAAGCTAGTGCAGGGAAGAGTAGGAAATACACTGGAACATATAGGCATAGGCAAGAACTTCCTAAACAGAACTCTAATGGCTCAGCATCTAAGAGAAAGCGTCTCTGTACAACAAAACTGGAAAGCGTCTCTGTACAACAAAACTAAAAAGTTTCTCTGTACAACAAAAGAAATGGTCACCACACAAAAGAGGAAACCCACAGAATAGGAGAAAAATCTTTGCCAGCTGTAAGTATGTCAAAGGAGTAATAACCAGTACAGGGAGCTCAAAAAACGAAACTCCCAAAATATCAAAGACCCAATGAAGAAATGGGCAAATGAACTAAACAGAACTTTTCAAAGGAATTAAGTTCAAGTGGCCAAAAAGCAAATGAAGAAATGCTCAACGTCCCTTGTCATAAAGAAAATGAAAAACAAAACCATGTTAAGACCTCACTCTTGTCAGAATGGCTATGGTCAAGAACACAAACAACAAATGTTGACAAGGAAGTAGGGAATAAGGAACCCTCATACATTGTTGGTGGGAATGTAAATTAGTACTACCACTCTGGAAAAAAAGTATGGAGGCTCCTCAACACACTAAAACTAGAACTACCACATGATCCAGCAATACCACCGCTAGGGACATACCGGAAGAAATGTAAGTAGATTACAATAAAGGCACCTGTACACCCATATTTACTGCAGCATTATTCACAATAGCCAAGCTATGAAAATAGCCAAGATATGAAAATAGCCAAGATGCCCTACAATTGAAGAATGGGTTAAGAAAATATGATATTTATATACAACGGGATTTTATTCAGCCATAAAGAAGAATAAAATTTGGTCATTTGAAGGTAAAGGGATGGAACTGGAGAACACTATCTTAAGTGAAGTTCAAGCCCAGAAAGCCAAAGGTCAAATGTCTTCTCTCATATGTGGAATACAGGCCCGGTACAAATACAAGCAATATAATAAATACAGAACATGTATCCAAAAGTGAGATTGGTAGGGGAGACCAAGGGAGGAGGAAAAGAAGGAAAAAAAGATATAAATAATAAATGAAATACATCACATCTGCACAGGAACAAGACACA